CTGGTCCCATCTTCCTGATTTCTTTGCCCTCAGTCCATACAGGGAGGAGCCTGTCGCTCTCCTCAGCCCACTTAATAGACATGCCTCTACCTTTCCAGACTGTGTCCCTTGGCTATGTAGTGGCTTTCCCAGGAAAGCAAGAATCTCTCCAGAAGTGGCTGCCCACTTACCACGCATGCCAGACCAGCCTCACACCAGGACCCTTAGGGCCTTTCCTGCAGGGCAGCTTCCCTACAATAGCTGTGCATGGCCTGTAGCCAAACAGTGAAAGCTCTGCTCTGCCCAGTAGCTCAGTCCTGGCCCCTGGGTGTTGTTATGAATCAATAGCTCACTGGCCCAAGCTTTCCCAAGGCAACCAAGTGCCCAAGTCCAAAGAAAACCCCCACAGGGCAGGCCTTTTCTGTCTGTAAACTGTCGCTACCACCACATCCAGTGCCATCACACTGGCTGGTCTCTGCCCTCAGCAAGTACTTGCCACTTATCCCCTGCTTTCTTCTTTCTCTTGGGATCTTCTGGGCAGAGCCCACAATCCAGAGGAACCTGGAGTCTTTTTCCTCTAATCTTCGCCAAGTCCAGCTGCAAAGAAGCTGTCTCTAGTCTGCCATCTTGTTTCACCCTCCCAGTCGTTTTTTTTTTTTTTTTTTTATTTGAACTATCTTACGTGTGTATACAAAATTTATTTGTTGAGTACATTTGCTGAGTGTTTAAGCCTTATTGTATATTTTATCTACAAAGGGTGACAAAGTGTGTACCTATTTTTTTTTTTTTTATTTGAGACAGAGTTGTAAGCTGTCACCCTGGGTAGAGTGCTGTGGCGTCACAACTCACAGCAACTTCAAACTCCTGGGCTTGAACAATTCTCTTGCCTCAGCCTAGCCTCCTGAGTAGCTGGGACTACAGGTGCCTACCACAATGCCCAGCTATTTTTTTATTGCAGTTGTCACTGTTTTTAGTATGCCCGGGCCAGGTTTGAGCCCACCAGCCTTGGTGTATGTGGCCAGTGCCCTCCCCACTGAAATACAGGCACTGCCAGTATGCCTACTAAGAAAGGAAAAAATTATATGAAATTTGTAATACCCACGTCACACTTGATTTCTGCAGTTATAGTGAGATACAAGATAAAATAAAATATATATACTTAGTATTACAAGTTTGATGTAGTTTTTTTTTCTTTTATAAAGTATGCTAGTTTTTTGGCATCCTCTGTGTGTGTGTGTGTGTTTGTGTTTGTCATCTTGTTAGTATTCAAGCTAATGCTGTAAGATGAAGTTATCATTTTTTCTAGTAGCTGGGGTTCATGGTAGTCCAGAAACCGCATTAATCTTATTCCCTGCTACATTCTGTGTCTAGTTTGGTGTCTGGTACGTGCTAAGTAATCTGTGTTTAAATGACATTCAAACTCACTGATAATGAAGGTGATATGTATGTATGAAATACCATTGGCAAGTATTTGAAAATGTAATAGTAGGAAGGATATAGTGACCTTGTTGACTGAGTACATAGTCTAAGGAATATATCTTGGTGAAAGAAGCAATTTTGTAGCATCCTCTAGTAGCCTTAAGATGTTCCAGTGCTTTGACCCAGCAGTTTTTCTTCTAGGAAATCTGTCTTATGGATCCTGATCATATGGAAAAAAAGTATGTTTGTTAGATTAAAAATAGAAAAAACCCTGGGAAGCAGGAAACAAATAAATTACACTGAATTCACATTCAGAATGCTTTTAAACTATTAGTATCGGTGATTATGAAGCATTTGTAATATGAAAAAAACCTCTTACTATGTGAAAGAAAATTAATTGTATGAAGATAGATTTAGTAATCGTAGGGTATGAAATCCTGAGAGAGATACTTGGAGGCATTGTATCAGCTGCTTGTCACTTTAATCTATTGGCTTTCCAATCATTTCCCCTTACTAAGTTAAAGATTTGGAGCTAATCTATTAGGAAATGCTAATATGTTTTAGTCATGTTTGTTAGGTAGAACTTTATTTAGTTGGCCTGAACTGTGGGGGCTGTATTTTTAGAGTATCTACATCACTTAATAAATTATGATCATGTGAAGGGTGGATTGGTGATGGATGAATAGGATGCTTACTGTTTCATGAAAATATGATTTTGCTAAATCCAGGGATTTTTCTTTCTTTCTTTCTTTTTTTTAAGACAGAGTCTCAGACTGTCACCCTGAGTAGAGTGTTGTGGCATCACAGCTGACAGCAACCTCAAATCCTTGGGCTTAAGCTATTCTCTTGCCTCAGCCTCCCAAGTAACTGGGAGTACAGGCACCCACCACAATGCAAAGCTTTTTTTTTTTTTTTTTAAGTTATAATTATCATTGTTGTTTGGCAGGCCTGGGCTGGATTTGAACCTGCCAGCTCCAATGTATGTGGCTGGCACCCTAGTCACTTGAACTACAGGTGCTGAGCCAAATCCAGGGATTTTTCTTCGGAGAATAGCTATAGAAATCCTGAGGTAGATGTTAAGCATGTGACTTTCTGAAAGTCTTCACAAGGATGTAGAATAATACTTGCCAGTGTTGGATTACTTGTTGATACAGTATTTAGAAATCATTTTAGTGCTAGTTTCCTGCAACACATAGCCCTTACTTGGAAGAGGCTTCTTATTTAGTAGAGGAGAAAAATTTAAAAAGAAACATACAATGTATGCAGTTATAGAACAGAAGCAAATATAGAGTGTATAGCACAGCTAATGAAGTGATTGATTCTGTGAAAGAAAATGTGTGTGAGGGTTGTCCAGGTGGGAGGGGTGATCGTGGTATGTAGGGTAAGGGTAATTCTAAGCCAAGAGTCTGTTCCATCAAGGCTCAGAAAAAGACTTCAGTAGTTTATTGTTCAGGGAGTTTAAACAATCTGATATTAAGAATGAAAAGTTCATGGAGGGCTTAGTGGAAGGTGAGAAGTTGTGGCAAAGAGGAAGAGGCCATATTTTGTTTGCTCTCTTGGTGCTATAATAGTGATTAAAATAATAAAATGGCAGAGTTAGGCTGCCATTCACTCACTAACCTATGAAATTACTTCACTCCCTAATTCTTAGTTTCCTTCTCTACAAAATAAGGATGACAGTAGTGTCTACTCCAAAGGATTCTTGTGAGGATCAGATGAAAACATTTCATTTAAATCATTCAGAGTAGTTTCCTGAGGTATGGTAAGTACAAAAAGTTAGTTGCCTCTGTAAAAATTACAATCATTGTGAATGTTAAGCAAGAGAAAAACTCGATCACCCTAGTATTTAGAATGATCTCTTTGAAGGCAGTACGGAGGATTGTGGACTAGAGATTGAGGAGATAATGATGCAGGTTGAGAAGCTTTGTAAAAATCTAGAGGCACAGTGAGTATCTGGTATAAGGCAGTAACAATAGGAATAGTGATATAGTGTCAGTGAATATTTAAGTGTTAGAATTGACAGATTCACTAGTGTTCTTATGTCTGTTAGAAGGACAAAAGATGAAAGTAGTGTGTGAGAAACTTGGTTAATGTAGATTTCATCAATAAAGAGAAATAACTAAAAGCAAGACGATTTTGGGAGCAGAGAAGATAATTTGATTTTAGAACAGTTTTGAAGAAATGAATGTAAAAAAAGTCAGTTGGATTTGTTGTATTTGAAAGGGAATGTGTGGATAGTTCAGGAGCGTTTTGGGGAAAATTCAGAAGTCAGCAGGCAATTGTGGTAGCGGCTGCAGCCAGGCATATAGGTGAGCCCCACTGTGCAGAGGTGAGTAAGGAGGACTGGGCTCCCACCCAAGCAGTGGAGAGATGGTTTATCATCTGCCAAGTATTGTATGTTTTTTTTTAAACATTCTACTAATACAGCGGTTCTCAACCTGTAGGTCGCGACCCACAGGAACTGTATTAAAGGGCTGTGGCATTAGGAAGGTTGAGAACCACTATACTAATAGCTCTGTGATGTAATTGTGCTGTATTAATTATCCCATGCTGAGTAAGAAATTACCATAACCTTGGCTGTTTGAAACAACATAAATGTATTATTTTATAGATTCTAGACATGGGTTGGCTAGGTCCTCTACTTGTGAGTCTCTCATGAGACTGGAAAGTGTTGGCCAGTGCTGGAGCCTTGTCTGAGGCCTAACTGGGAAAGGATCAGCTTCTGGACTCATGGGGTTGTCAAGATTTAGTTCTTTGAGGGTTGTGAGACAAAGACCCTCTGTTGGCTAGAGGCTACCTTCATTTTCCTATCAAATAGACCTTTCCCTAATTTAGCTTACTTGGTCAAAGCTGGCAAAGGAGAGAAGACAGCTGGCAAGGTGGAAGTAATAATCTTGAGTAACAATCATAGATACAGTATCCTGTCACTTCTGCAATATTTTACTGGTTTGAAAGAGATCACCCACCCTTATATGCAGGGAGGTGGAAGATTTCACTAAGGTGGATACTGGGAGGTGGAGATAATTGGTGCTGATTTAGAGACTGTGTCCTGCGAGTGCCATTTTTATTCCTGTATACAAGAAAGGAAACTCAAATAGTTTCCGAGATCACCTGGTTGCAAGTAACAAAGCCAAAACCAAACCTGGGCTTGTCCTTGTTTGTTATTATATTCAAGGACTGACAAAGACCTGTAAAGTCAGGGATGGGGGGAGTATATTGACAACTTTTGTTTGACATATTTTACTGGAGTGATGTGGGTTGAGATTTCAGAGAATGTGTAAGTAGGAAAGTAGGCCTGAGTAGACTACTCTTACAGATTTATTTATTTATTTATTTATTTGCTTGCTTATTTATTTAGGGATAGAGTCTCCCTCTGTTGCCAGGCTACATAGCAACCTGGGCTGAAGAGATCCTCTTGCCTCAGCCTCCCAAGTAGGTGGGATTAGCCGCCACAACATATGGCTGTTTTTTAGAAAGGGGTCTCACTCTTGTTAGGCTGTTAAGATTATAATTTTAAAGGAAGAAGCAAATAGTAACTGTGTATTGTTTTTACGTACTGAATTGTTTTTCTCTATAATAGTCTAGAAAATTTTCTTTTTCAGTTCTCTGAATTTAACCAGTAATGCCATTCAGTTGCCAATTTCAAGCAAAGCAAACATAAACCAGTTTTAATCTGCTGTTTAAGAAAAGTGGCAGTCCTGACAGTGCCTGACAGTAAGTCACCATTTCTATTTTTGTAACAGTTTTTGATCTAAGACATTTAAAATAATGATATTGGAAACTTTTATTTTAAAACTTTATTTGCTTTTTCTTCTCTGATAATTCAGAGAAGATAAATATGTCCTCATTTTCTTGTTTAAGAAGCTTAATATTATAGACAGAGGTTTTTAACTTGGACTCATTAATAGCAGAGTCCATTAATGTTTTAAATATTCTGATCTCCAGACCTATATTCTTTCTACTGTTGTTCCAGGTGATGTAACTTTTAGATCCGCAGTTTCTTGGGGAGTACTTCTAGCTCACTATGGAAATGGACACTAATTAAGTGGCAGCTGGTGGAAAGAATTGAGACTTGTTTCCCCAAATATGCACATAGTGTCTGCTCTAAACACACCTTTGACTGGTCACAAGTTAACTCCTGTTTACACTTGAATTAGCTATTGCAATTTTTAAAACACAGGGTAATGTAGGATATTGTAAAAGCTTTCTTGGCCATGTGGAATTGCGTTCACTTTATTAAAAAAAATTTATTTTTCTAGATATTCAGGTTTTTATAACAATTTCAGTATTGCAAAACTTTCAACCATGATGAATGGTGATGGTGAAGAATTCTTCAATGAATTATATGGAAATGCTTTATCTGATTATCCTGAGTGGTTTTGAAATATTTTGTAGTGATCTGTAAAATAGTAGTTTATTGGAAGACAGTTATGAATCTGACAGTAGACTACCAAAACAGCAAAAAAAAAAGTCTAATAAAATCTGATTGTGAAAGTGACTTTTGTTGTTTTGAGACAAGAGTCTGACTGTCACCCTGGGTATGGTGCTGTGGCATCATAGTTCCCAGTGATCTCAAACGTTTGGGCTCAAGTGATCCTCTTGCCTCAGCCTCCCTAGTAGCCGGGACTACTGGCACCTATCACAACGCCCAGTTAGTTTTTCATTTTTTTAGTAGAGAGAGGCTGGTCTCGAACCTGTGAGCTCAGGTGATCCGCCTGCCTCCGACTCACAGAATGCTGAGATTATTAGCAGGAGCCATGGGCCTGACTATGAAAATGATTTTGAAGGAGAGTGGATGGAAAATGATGCCAGTCTTGGAGGATTGTACAGATATTTCAGGTTGAACTTAGTGATCCATAGAAGAACATCAGCAAAGTGACAAGATATACTTTTTGATAATGATATTTTTTGTGTGTAGTTGCTTCTCAAACCTATTTATATCACTGCTAAATGGAATAATTTATTTTATTTTACGTTAATACAGAGTCTTCCTTTTCCTGTCTTTGGTAGAGTGCCATGGCGTCGTAGCTCATAGCAACCTCAAATTTGTGGGCTCAAGCCGTTCTCTTGCCTCAGCCTCCCTAGTAGGTGGGACTACAGCCACCACGATGCCTGGCTGTTTTTTACAGATGGGGTCTCACTCTTGCTTAGGCTAGTCTCGAACTCTTGAGCTCAGGGAATCCACCCGCCTCAACCTCCCAGAGTGCTGGCATTACACACACGAGCCACTTGCACCTGGCCCAAATGCAACAATTTTATAAAAACTCTGCTAAAACTTTACCATGAATGGAAGTTACCATTAGTGATATAAAAAAGTTTCTCAATTTACTGATATTGATGAGACAAACACAAAAATCACATTGAAAAGAACGCTGGTCATTGGACTCTTTGCTTGCAACACCAGTATTTCTTAGAACTATGACCAGAATTCAGCTCAAGTTAATCCTCACATTTTTTCATCTTAGTGATAATTCACAAGGTAAATCTAGTGAAGACAGACTTTATAAAATTGGACTTCTTTTGGATTACTTTATTCTGAAATTTCAGTCTTATAAGTACCAAAGCAGGAGTGCTCCCTAGGTGAGGCCATGGCATTATGTAGAGGGCATATCACTTCTTCACACTTTCATATTCAATTACAGAATAATAGTTGGTGACATGGGATAGCTTCTGTGTAAAATTGCCAGTCAACAATGTGTTATTTTGCTTCTAGTAAAAATGCTAGTCTAATTTTATTGCTTTGAGGAAGAATTGGGAAAGAACTTTTATGGACAAGAAGATGTTTAACCAGATGTTTTACGTTTAATGTAAAAAAACATGTGAGATGTATACACTAACTTTTTTTCTAACTGTTGGCCTCTTTTTTCCAGAAAACAAACTTTTCCCCTATAGTAGAACTATTAGGCTTTTCGTTAATCTCATTTTTTTAAATCATCCAGTTTACTGAACTGTCTAGTTAGCTATCTTAGACATCAAAACCCATTTTGATTTTTTTACTATTTAGATGGTAAAAGTGCTACATCTTCATAACAAAGATAATTGCACTTACAGTTGTGTCTGTAAAATTGATTTCTTGTTTCTTCTAATAACTGTTTCAGAGGGTGAGGTGTAAGCTCACAGAATCCAGAGAAATCATCATGAAGTTGTATGTGTTTCTGGTTAACACTGGAACTACTCTAACATTTGATACTGAACTTACAGTGCAAACGTGAGTTGTATTTCATTTAGCCTCTTTGGTTTTGCATTTTGTCTGCATGCAGAAAAATAAATAAAATATTTAATTTCGAGGAAACAATTTCACACTTAAGAAGAGAAGCATATGGCAGTTGTTAAATCTTTTATCCCAATATGTTACGTTTATCGTTGTCATCTTTCTCTGAAATGTGAGTTAAACTCAGTAAGTCGCATTTTGTTGTTGCATGAATGTAATATTTAAAATAATCAGACTCATAAAATATTCTCATTTCAAACTGAGGTTATTGTTATGAGTACCAGTTGCTATTCACAGGTCGTTGTTAAGGAAATTATTGCTAGCTTTAAAAAATAATATGTCACATCCATGTTTTGGTCATTTGTTTTGATTCCTTTGCATGAATAAAGTGGATAGGTGTATTTTGTTTGTTAACAAGAGAATAAAATAAGTTTAATATTTTTAAGCAAAAGAGTAGGGCTCAGCTGTCTAATAATTCTTAAGGTTTTCAGAGGTTTCCAATATTTAGCTAATCATGCCCTCCTTGATATTTGTGAAAGTTTTGGAGAGCTCTCAGGGGAGAGAGGATGTATTTTGAAGCCAAACTAGAAGGAAATAGAAGTAATATGTTTTTCTAAACCTGTTAATAATTTTATATTGACTGTAATAGCAAAGACATGATAGTAACACAGAGTGAATAATTTCTACACTGAACTTGTTATAAATTGTGAAATCAATAATCATTGTTTAAAAAGTGGAATTATATGATTCTTTTTTTTTTTGGAGACAGTCTCACTTTGTTGCCCTTGGTAGAGTGCTTTGGCGTCACAGCTCACAGCAGCCTCCAACTCTTGAGTTTAAGTTATTCTCTTCCCTCAGCTTCCTGAGTAGCCTGGCTGTTTTTTGATTGCAGTTATCATTGTTGTTTAGCAGGTTCGGGCTGGGCTTGAACCTGCCAGCCTTGGTGTATGTGGCTGGCATCCTACTCAGTGAGCTACGGGTGCTGAGCCTGGACTCATTATAGAAGTTTTACTTCTATAGGAATGAATTTTTGGAAGCTAGGAAAAGGGAGGAATTTTCACATGGTTTATATACTACGGTAGTTTCTGTAAAGCAGTGTGGAGATTAGAATACAAATCCTTTGTTCTGAGGACTTTAGCAGACCTCATACCAATTTGGGCATATTCCTTTGAGATGTTACATAGAGAATACATAAATAAGTGTGCCCCTATTTCATAGACTTCACTTTTAGATATGATGCAATGGGTAATTTATTTACATAAGATCAACTGCTTGTTTCTGAAATCCAGTTCAAGAAATAGTCAGCTTACATATTTTACTATTATTTTGGTTGGAAAGTTTTAGAGTGAAATTCATTAACCTACCACAATACTTTTATATAGTACTTCTATGAAAATACAGGTATTTGACAAATGCAAATAACTGATTCATTTTATCCTTTTTTTAAAAGTGTGGCAGACCTTAAGCATGCCATTCAAAGCAAATACAAGATTGCTATTCAGCACCAGGTGCTGGTTGTCAATGGAGGAGAGTGCATGGCCGCAGATAGAAGAGTGTGTACCTATAGTGCTGGGACGGTAGGTATCCAGGAGTCTCTCACACAGGGATGCTCCACCTTCACATCACATAGGGAGCTGGAACTCAGTGTTCAAAAATAAGATTCACTCGCTTCATATATTGACTGACATCTATATTCACTAACATAGTATTTCAGTTAAATCTGTTTTTTTTTTTATATATAGGACACAAATCCAATTTTTCTTTTTAACAAAGAAATGATCTTATGTGATCGTCCACCTGCTATTCCTAAAACTACATTTTCAACAGAAAATGACATGGAAATAAAAGTTGAAGAATCTCTTATGATGCCTGCAGTTTTTCACACTGTTGCTTCAAGGACACAGCTTGCAGTGGTAAGATATAAATAACTAATTAACTGAATTTCCTAATAGTGTTCAAATTTAAGTAGCAGAAAGTCTAAATTGGATAGGAGGCATGCAAAAAATAAGAACAATAACAAACCAATCTAGAAATTTTTTTTGTAGTTAATATATCTAGTTTTTATATTTTGAGCTCATAAATTGTTAGTCATTCTACATTGACAGTGGGGTATTTTAGGGTGTAAAGCTATCCTGGACAGGATTTGGTCAACTTCCCTCCTAAATGCTGGTAAGTAGAGTAATATTAGAGTGCATATGTCAGAGTACACATAGACAAATGGAGCTTAAACAACTCTGAAAATATGGTTGTTTTTCCTATATCCGTAGTTAACTCTCAGAGGACAAATTTCTTTTCCAATATATACCTCGTACACTGCTACCCACTGTCCCTACAGATTGTTTCCCTGTCATTTAATTTTTCCCTTTTAACTTGCTATTTACTTTATTCTCTTATCATTGACATTCATAAAGCTACATTTTCCAGACATGAACAAATATAAAGTTTTAAAACAAATGAAATAACAGTATTATCTGTTATAAACATAGACAGCATTCCTAAACATTTATTGCATATAGTAAAACTCTTAGTTTTTTTAGCCAATTGCCTTATTAAAAGATGATTTGTATCATACAGCTTTAAATAAAAGCCCACAACTGTATCATTTACAGGCAATACAGTTAAAAAGGTTGGTAAAATATGAAAAGATAGGTATTCACCGAAGTAGTAGGTAACTGTAAACAAAGACACAACTGGTAATACTGTATTAATGTTCGACAAGTGGACTGCAAAGCCTTAAAGAGAACAAAGTGAAATGCAATGTTAAAAAAAAAGGCTTCAGTTTATGAAAATGGTAGGTGAAATTATGTATTTGCCTACCAACACAAGCTAAAAATAAAGTAACAATTTTTAAAAATTTCAGTATAACTTAAAATAGTGGTGTATGCCACTGTCCATAGGGGCATTATTAACAAAAAGCCAAAAGTAGAATCAATCTAAATATCTACTAGCTGATGAATAAGTAATAAAAAAATACAGCATATATATTCTATGTAAGGGAATATACATAGCTTGGCTTTAAAAAGGAAGGAAATTGTGATAACATGTTATAAAATGAAAGAATTTTGAGGACATGAAACATGACCACAAAACAGATAAGGCTGCTTTTTTTTTGGAGACAGAGTCTGAAGCTGTCACCCTTGGTTTAGTGCCGGGGCATCACGGCTCACAGCAACCTCAAACTCCTGGGCTCAAGTGATTCTCTTGCCTCAGACTCCCAAGCAGCTAGAACTATAGGCGCCTGCCACAATGCCAGGGTATTTTTTGTTGCAGTTGCCATTGTTGTTTAGCTATTTTGGGCCAGGTTTGAACTCGCCACCCTCGGTGTATGTGGCTGGAACTATAACCACTGTGCTATGGGCACTGAGCCAAGGCATATTCATTTTGTTCGTTCTGTGTTTTTGTTTTTGTTTTTTTGAGGTAGAATCTTCCTCTCTGACTCAGGCTAGAGTGCCTCGCTCATAGCAACTTCACACCTCACATTCCTGGGTTAAGCGATCTTCCGGCCTCAGCCTTCCTAGTAGTTAGGTGTAGGTGACTATCATGAGGCCCAGCTAGTTTTTCTATTTTTAGTAGAGAGGGGACTGTCGTGACCCCTATGGTCCTGGTCTCAGTCGCCTCGGGAAGGAACCAGGCATGACCCCGATTAGAAGTACAAGCTTGCGGGAGGCAGGCTAACCTTAAGTGCAGGGTAGCCCTGAGCCCCCTCCGCAATGGCTATTTATTAAGATTACAGCAGGTGTGGAGAGTTAAGGTCATTACATATGAGGGCTGCTGCGTAAGGACTGCCACGTGCTCTTTCCTCATGTGTTCTTTCCCCACAGCCCCCATGAAGAAGTGAGTACTGAGCTTCAATGATTAACACACGCTTACTAGTGAGTGACCGATCTTATCTCATTCCAGAACACTGAGTTACTTGGGGGCATTGCCCCTAAGTCACAAAATGTCTCTAGGCTTGCCAGGAGACTGTCCTGTTCTCAGCGTTTCCTTTTAATGTGATAAGATTCAGTAACTGTGCTTTGCAAGCATGGTGTCCATTCCTCTACAGGGGACTCTCCCTCTGCTCAAGCTGATGACCTCAGTTTTTTGTAAAGTTACTCTTCCAAGTTTCTTGAGTGTTTTCCATGGTAGTATTAATCCTTTTCTAATTGTTCTATAGATTCTTTTATATGTAATCTTCATATATCCTTTTTATTGGTTATATATGTTGAAAATATTTTATGCCGTTCTTTGGCTTACCTTTTCATTTGGTTAATTGTGTCTCGTGATGAATAGAAATTTCTAGTTAACGTCCATTTTATCAATAGTCTTGCTCTTGGGTCTTACTACACATTTTTTTGCTATCATAAAGTCCTGAAGGGAACAAATAATAGTCTCTGAAGTATACATCTAGTATATGTTCCAAAGCCTCCTTTTCTTTTTAACCTTTTGACACTTAGATCTATGTGTACCTTGTATATGATTTTTTTATATACTGATACAAAAATTGAAAATTAAGAGGCCAGCACATTGCCTTTTAAAACTTTGTAATGTATCTTGATCTTTCCAAAACCATAAATAAAAAGATAAATTGACATATGTGTATATTTTTCTTCCCTGTCTAGTAGAGAGGATATGTAATTTTTTTAAATGGCCACATAAATTCCATTGTGTGGATGTAAGTCAGCAGTTCTCAACCTGTGGGTCGTGACCCACAGGAATTATATTAAAGGGCCACAACATTAGGAAGGTTGAGAACCACTGATGTAAGTAATGATTGATAGATGTTGAGATTTACATTTTATTTTATGGTGTTGAAATAAAGAACCTTGTAGTATTCTTTAGGCATAGATAGGATGGATTCCTAAAAGAGGAATCACCATGCCAAATGATTAATTTTAAATTCAATAGTCATTGCTTAGTTGCCCTCTACAGACAATCTACCAATATATACTTTTAAAAGCATTGAGAAGGTGTTTCTCTCCCTGGCCCATGGTCCCAGCACAGGCCTTACTAAATTGTGGATGATGGTATCTTGCTCTGATGCTATTTTGCTTAAATTGAGTAACGTTTTATATATTTAAAATAGCAGTTTTTGGGGTGGTGCCTGTGGCTCAGGGAGTAGGGCGCCAGCTCCGTATACCAGAGGTGGTGGGTTCAAACCCAGCCGTGGCCAAAAACTGCAAAAAAAAAATAAAATAGCAGTTTTATTTCCTGTTGTTATCATGTCTGTGCCTTCTCTGTCTCTTCTCTTTTATAATCTTTTGTGTTTCCCCAAGTTGCTTTGTATTATTGAAACCATCCATGGGGGGTTAGTTACTCTGTTATCTATGACATTTTGTGCAAATATCTTTTCCCACTTTTTCATTTGTATTTTGCCATTGTGCTATTTTCTAATGGGAGTCTTTAATTTTATATTTTTAAATTTATCAAACTATTATTAATTTTTCCATTTGGGGTTAGGTTGAAAAGAGTTACTTGCTTCTAGATCATGTTTATATAATTATGAAACTAAGAAATGCATGTATTACTTAATTTCAAATATATGTAATTTCAGAATTTTTATATACTATGTGGAGAGTAATATTCTTGTTATTTTTGGAATGTATCACCCAGCTATCCCCATTCAAAATACTGTCTTTAATTGATAATAAATTTCAATGTGTCTGTAGTTTTACCTTTTGTTAGATTTATTTCTCCATTTTAGTAACAAACTTACTTTTTTGCATGGTACGTGATTAAAAATGGTTTTCTTCCTCTCTTCCCAGCATTTAGCATATTTTGCTTTTATATATTTTAGCATGCTTACATAACTTTAGTGATTTTATTGCAAAATCAATTAGAAAAAAAAGAAACTCTAGCAAAGATATAGAGGAAAAGTGAACTTCCTTTTTTGTCATCCTCTACACTGTCCCAGTGATGATCAAACATTTGCTTTACATTTTTCCAGACTTTTATATGCACGTACATACATGGGATGTTTCTGTTTCATACCTCTGTTGTTTCACATATTCTTTTCTTTTATTTGAGACAGTTTCACTTTGTCACCCTTGGTAGAGTGCTGTAGTGTCATAGCTGACAGCAACCTCAGTTTCTCGGGTTCAAGCAGTCCTCTGGCCTCAGCCACCCGAGTAGGTGGGACTACAGGCACCAACCAAAACACCTGGCTGTTTAAAGAGATGGGGGATCTTGGTCTAGCTCAAGCTAGTCTTGAGCTTGTGAGCTTAGGTGACCTGCCAGTCTTGGCCTCCCAGAGTCATGGGATTACAAGCATGAGCTATCTTACCTAGCCTATGTTTCATATTTTCTTTTTTTGAGACAGAGTCTCACTTTGTCACCCTTGGTAGAGTGCCATGGCATCATAGCTCAAAGCATCCTCCAACTACTGAGCTTAGGTGATTCTCTTGCCTCAGCCTCCCAAGTAGCTGGGACTATAGGTGCCCACCTCAACACCCAGCTTTTTTTTTGTTCCAGTTTGGCTAGGGCCGGGTTCAAACCTGCCACCCCCAGTAGGTGCCCTACTCACTGAGCCACAGGCACCACTCATGTTTCATATTTTCTAATTCTACTCAGTCTCTCCAAATAAACAGAAGCATACTGTTAACTCAATCTTAATTGTTACAAGGTACTTTTCATTTTGCTCTTAGCAGTACCACAGTCCACATACTTGAATATTTATATTCATGTATATCTGTGCCGGTGTTTATGATAAATAACTAGATGCAAAATTTCTATGTCAAATTACATATTTTATTTTGATAATTGTTCTCAAATTTCTTTTTAAATAAGAAAGTATTCATTTCCTCACCCCCAAAATGACATTTCTCTGTCATTAATTTTGCCATTGTGATAGATGACAGTGTTGGTACCTTATTCTTATTTTGTTTTCTGAACTATTACTGAAGTTGAACATTTTTCATTTATTCTTTGTATTTCTATGTTATTCATACAATAACATATTCTCTTGTTCATATACTTTGTCCATCTTCCTTTTGGGTTGTGTTTTTATGAATAGGAATGTCTGTGCCAGTGTTTTTCAACTGTTTTTATCTCACAGTGCACTTGAACCCATAGTTCAAGTACACTTAAATCGTAGTGTACAGGTTAAGAATTGCTGCTGTATGCATTGTGGACATTATGCCTTTCTTTCTATTGTTTATATTCACATCCAACATATTTTTTAGTTATTATTTTATGTTTGTTACAGTTTTTCACAATTCCAGAAATTTAAATATTTATTCAGACTGATTTTATTTTTTTATGTTCTCTGTCTTGTGTGTTTATAAATCTTCTCTTTATATTTTCTGCATATACTACAAGAAACTCTTGATTTAATGCACACAACTTTGTTTTCCTTATTGGTCTTTTCAGGGGTATCACCTGCCTTCCATTTTTAAAAATATGAAAACATTTTTCTTCTTGTACTTCATAATTCCAGGTTTTTATTCACTCTGTTTTAGAGTCAGCATGATTTTACTTTTTAATGCCAGAGTACACAAGCATCTTATTGTATCTTATTGATATCCCTAGCCCATAGGAAAAAATCTTATTTCTTGTTTTGATAACTAGATAAGTGTTGCCTTATTTACTAACAGTAGTCTTTTTACAACTAGCTTGTGACAACTTGAAAATAAACATTTTAAATTCATTCTTTTAGGCATCTACCCCCCATCCCACCTTATAAACTCTTGTTTTTATTCTCTTCACTCCTTAATACTTAAATGAAATATTTTCACCATTAGAAAGCTTTGACTTTTCCTTTCCTTCTCCCTACAGGTATCTCTTGTAACCTAAATAAGAGGCAACAGAGACAATGTTCTTTTTGATTTCCTAGCTGACTAAAATCTTTTGTGGCAGAGAACCTTTCTTACTCATATCTCCTACATTGCCTTCTAGTAGTATATACTAAGTATTTTCATACTTTATTCTTTGAAACTCAAGGTCAAACATCTATTATGAAGGCATTTTCACTATTTGCATAAAATATTTTCTAGAATTTCCTTAGGTCTTAAAATGTTTTTTAGTTTTATTAATTTAGAAGTAAATAATGTACTTTAGGCTTTAATTTTGTCTTCTTCAAAATTTGTCACCCTTGAGAAAACTAGCCCAGCAGCCCCAAGACTTTTTGGCAACAGGAACCAGTTTCAAAGAAGGCACAAACAGAAGAGTAGGGGAAGGTGGAGCTCAGGCAGTGATGTGACTGATGGGAGCAGCTGTAATACAGATGAAGCTTCTTTGGCTTCAGTCCCCCTCTACCTCCTACTATGTGGCCTAATTACTAAGTTTCCTTGAAGACAGTTTTTGTTTTTGTTTTTTTTAAGGGAAGAAAAGGGGCGGTGAAGCTCTGGGGCCAGTTTCCAACAGATCCACAGCCTGGCAGTTGGGGACTGCAATTACATTAGACAGTGACTGGCATTCCAGATGGCACGTCAGTAACTAGTCAAATCTTTGGAACCCCCACTTCTCTGTTCCTGGGGGTACCTTCTTATGGAATTATCTTAGGATACCTGCTCAGAAACACCTCAGAATTCATAACCTGTGATATCCTCAGGTTCTTTGTTATAGGCATGACTAATGAGGTAAATTGAAAGTCTTTTAGAAACACTTTTTTAAAATGTGTTTAGAATGTATGCATTTATGCACACTTATTCATACACATGCAAACATATGCACACAGACCATTGCTACATTTCATTTACTTTTCTTTTCTTTTTTAATATAGGAAATGTATGAAGTTGCCAAGAAACTTTGTTCTTTTTGTGAAGGTCTTGTCCACGATGAACATCTTCAGCACCAAGGCTGGGCTGCAATAATGGCCAATCTGGAAGACTGTTCAAATTCATACCAAAAGCTACTTTTCAAGTTTGAAAGTATTTATTCAAATTATCTACAGTCCATAGAAGACATCAAGTTAAAACTTACTCAGTATGTTTGCCATTAAAATGGATAATAAGTTGTTTATTTATAATGCCTTTTACATTTATCATAGTTCTAGTCACTGTAAGTTTGTTTTCATAGGCCATATATTTATTATAACAGAAGTTTATTTTTTGAGCCTTTGTAATTGTGCTTTATAGATGTGGTTTTCATAGATTGTATAATTTTTAAATTACAGTTTTATTTAACAGGTATTTTGCGAGTTTCCCACTTTTTTCCCTTGGGTTTTATTTATGAAAAAAGCTCAAAATAACTTGGCTTATTATCTCTTGCACAAGATAGAAATGACAAAAATTTGCAAAAGTTTTCAAACATTGGACAATCAAGGAAAATTTTAAGATCCCTTTTAAATACTGCCATCCTAATACTGGTTTAATTAGGTAAAAAAAGCTCTTGTGTTCTCACTCTTGTTTGAGATGGCATTCTAGGTCTTTGCTTTGGAGTACATGTAATAAATACATCCTGGTCCTTTTTTAAAAAGGCTTTATATAAAGTAAAAATATAATGATAATTCAGTAGGAATAGAACCTTTATTGTGTGTGTGCATGTGCTTTTAATGGGGTAGGGTGGGGTTTTGTGGGTATTTTTTTAAATTATTAGAGTTTAGAAGCAGGTAGCAGGGTTTTTTTATTTTTCTCTTTCCTTTCATTTTTTTCTTATTTTATTCAGGTAGCCTCTTTAATTCAGGCTTCTCTTACTTTGTGTTATGAATGTTAGATAGAATTTAGCCTTAAGTTGAAAATTGAAGAAATCTTTGGAGGAAAGAAAATGATTAAGGCTAGAAAATCTTTTTAAAGTTTGTGATAACTTTCTGAAGTAACTTTTTTGAGGAGTTCTATTGGTTATGTCAGTTTAATGCAGGATCTAGCATTGATTTATGTATGGTTTTATAGAAAATAAATCATCAAGATTTTATAAAGTGAATCTGTCAATTTTCTTCTGTGATGAATACAAGTTATCTATTGAGATTATTTTTATATTCTTTCAGTATGTCAGATACATTTGATTAGCTTAAGGACAAAGGGTCCTGTTATGATGAATCCTTTTTGTAAATTTATTTTTTATTTTTGTTTTTTGAGGCACAGTCTCATTTTGTCACCATTGTTAGGGTGCTGTAGCATCATAGCTCACGGCAACCTCAAACTCCTGGGCTTAAGCAATTCTCTTGCCTCAGCCTCCCACAACTCCTGGCTATTTTTAGAGACGAGGTCTCGCTCTGTCTCACTCTAGCTAAGGCTGGTCTGGAACCTATGAGCTCAGGCAGTCCACTCGCCTTGGCCTTCCAAGTGCTGGGATTACAAGCGTGAGCCACTGCACCCAGCCTGTAAATTAGAGTTTCTTAAACTTTAAGATTTGATAAAAGCCATGTTCCCTTGCTTTGTGTAATTTACTTTAAGATTTGATAAAAGCCAAGTATTCACTTGTTAGTATAATTTAGTGATTTAGACTGATAATTTAATGTGTTAGAAGTATTCTCTCTCTGTTATTCTCAGCTTCTTTTAGTGAACTACTGGCTCATAGTCTAGTTTTTGTATGTATAATACAATAAAGTGGTGATGAGATTTGCGTATGATAATTACATGTGATTTTGTTCAAACTTGCTAATCCCTAACTTGAGCAATCTCATTACTGACAGATGTTTTGTCTTTTAAGTTTAGGAACTGCGGTTTCAGTAATGGCCAAGATTCCACTGTTGGAGTGCCTAACCAGACATAGTTACAGGGAATGTTTGGAAAGACTGGATTCATTACCTGAACACGAAAGCTCAGAAAAAGCTGAGATGAAAAGATCCACTGAACTGGTGCTCTCTCCTGATATGCCTACAACAACTAACAAATCTTTATTAACCTCACTTCACAAGTCAGTGGAACATGTAGCCCAAGATACCACAGATGCTGCAAGTGGCAAAGAAATTAGGGAATCTTGTCAAAGTACTGTTCAGCAGGATGAAAACTTGGTAGATGCTAAAGACAGTGATCTACCTTTTTTCAATGTTTCTTTGTTAGACTGGATAAATGTTCAAGATAGACCTAATGATGTGGAATCTTTGGTCAGGAAGTGCTTTGATTCTATGAGCAGGGTAAGTTATGCTAATTTGCTATTTCACATGTCATTTTAACTTCTTTATATTACTTAGAAATTTTAAATACTGCACTTACCTGAAATCTTTAAAATTTAAAAATAGACATGGTGTGTTTATTTGCCTTTAATAATCACAGTAAGCTTGTATTTTGCATTAAGATCTCCTCTCCACATACTTGAAAAACTTTCAAACCTGAGGAATAAATACTTCTTCATATCTATTACATAAACTGATACAGAGTCTTTGAAGCCAGGAGGGAAGCATTTGGGGCACAAATTTCAATGATACAGAAATATTAAATAATGTCTTAAAAACTGTTGTTGTTGAAAGGGCACTGAGTTGGAAAAGCATTAGTCTTTGTTTACAGAAAGTACATTCATTAGGGTTCTTGGAAATCAGTACTTTTCTTGTTTAAGTTATACAATGTGCTAGAATGAAAACCTTAAAAAAGTTCATGATTCTTCTCTTACTATCCAATTTCTTGATGACATCCTGTAGGGTAGGCATTTTATGCAGTTAAGACTTGTTGGACAGGGCAGGGAAGTACATAACATGTTGTGTCAAGATTACTGACAAAAATGAATGAAAGCTGGTGTTCCTGCTTAAAGTATTGACATTTTAGTAACCTAAAAATTCTATTTATGATTATATATAATCAACATGATGGTGGCCAGAAAAATTGAAGTCCATTTTTTATAATTAAGCTGTGCCAAAAGTCAAAACAGGGTTGTGGAACCTGAGATTGGCATAGTATTTGCATATTTATTGTGAAATCTAGCAGGCACTAGGTTTTATTCACATTTTGTGACAAGAAGAAAGAAACAATGATTCTCTTCCGTCTTAATAATGAAAATACACAAGTATTTGTACCTTCAAAAAACAGAAGTTGGTTATACTGTTATTACTAAGAGATTGCTTTTGTTTCCTTTTCAGAGGTTAGTGGTTACTTCAATAGAACATAACAGCATCTGAAGTCTTTGTGATATTTTCCATGGCCATTGTATTGTGAAAGCCAAATGTAAACTTCATTTGGTTATACTTGTTTGTTACAAAATTAGTTAGCATGACTTAAAATAGTGTGTATAATGTAGCACTCATTAGTTACACGTGCCCATTAGATTTTTTTTTTTAATGTTAATTTCTGTAAGGCAGTGAAAGACCATTTTTGAAAAATTTGCTTTTATATTTTTGCCTTTATTTTGTAAAATATGTTCTGTGAATAGGATGTATTTTATAATAGATGATACTTTGCCATGAATTCTCTTTAGGATTAACATTTCCTCTTGCTATTTTTGAATAACCTGAATATGGGGGTTTGCTCTGATTAGAAATACTGCCTTTTTCTCTCAGATTTATTAATAGTTATTCAAAACAACTAACCTACTTGATATCTGATACCAGTAATACTGTTTGCTAATGAAACATTAATAAGAAAAATGTGCCAAGGCTCGGTTTTGTTCTATGAAAGATAATTCTGTTTAAAGCATCATTTTTGCAGTCTTATTCTAATCACAATAATATTTCTAACATGTATTTTCATCTGCCAAATTAAAGTATCTTTCTCATGAAATTAGTCAAGACAGATATTTTTGGAATTTAGACTTTGAGATCGCATTTATTTGTTATCTCTGTCATCTATTGTAAGTCACTTAACAATTTTGAATGCTAAATTTTGTTATTTCTGTGTACTAACAGATACTAGTTTTCTTGCTTATTTAGTTCTTCCCCGAATTTTGACCTATCAGAAAAACTTCAGGATTGTTGCTGCAGTTTTGTAGACTCACATATTTTCTTAGATTTAAGCATGTTCTTGCTAGAATGACTTTTGGATAATCTATTTCAGATTACACTCCAAAAGGCAAACTGATTTGTGTTTCTCATGAAAGAATGTATTTTGCAGCAGTTGGGTGTGAAATGCTTTGTAAATGTCAGTTATGCCTATTAATATCTAAAGTGTAGTTTTACTTTGTTTTCTGTCTGGATGATCTGCGCGTTACTGAAAGTGGGGTGTTAAAGTCCCCTGATTACTGTATTTCATTCTCTCTCTCCCTTTAGGTCTATTAATGTTTGCTTATAAATTTGAGTTAGGTACATTGATATTTATAATTGTCCTACTCAGTTGACCCTTTTAGCATTATCTAGTGACCTTCCTGTCTTTATATAAAAAGTCTTTGATTTGTAGTTTATCTGAATCTGGATCCTCCTGCTTTTTCTTGGTTTCCAGTGTATAGAATATCTTTTTACACCCATTTACTGTCAATCTGTGTGTGTCTTGATAGATTAAAACGTGTTTCTTGAAAGCAGCATATAGTTGGGTCTTGTTTCTTTATTTGTTCAGCCTCTCTATGCCTTTTAATTGGAGATTTGAGACTATTTACATTCCGTGTTATTGGTAACAATGGACTTATAACTGCCATTTTATTGTTTGTTTTCTGGTTTTGAGACTGTTCTCTTTCATCCTTACTGTCTTCTTTTGTAGGTGAATATCACTGGTGGTAATTTGTACTTTGCTATTTTTCAAGTTTGGTGAATCTGTTATAGGTTTTTGTGCTGTGGTTACTATGAGGCTTACAAAAAACATTTTATGGATTTAAGTTATTTCAAAGAGATAACTTACCTTAGAACACAAAAGAATACAGACAAAGTCAAAACACAAAAGTCCTACACTTGACTCCTTCCCACACTTTGACTCTTAGTTGGTCTCAGTTTACATATTTGTGAATTAACTGTCTTGTAAAAGGTTGAGGAAGCTATTATTATTTTTGATAGATTTGTCTTTTGGGCTTTATACTAGAATTATAGGTCACAAGTACAGTAATTGTATCACAAGTACAGTAATGTAGATTCTGTGTTAGTCTATTTACTTAATTTTACCAGTGGATTTTATACTTTGAAACGTTTTCATGTGCACATTAGTGTTTTTTTCTTTAAGATTGAAGATCTCAGGCTCGGCGCCTATAGCTCAACCGGCTAAGGCGCCAGCCACGTACAACTAAGGTGGCGGGTTCGAATCCCCAGCCCGGACCCGCCAAACACCAATGACGGCTGCAACCAAAAAAAAGCCGGGCGTTGTGGCGGGCGCCTGTGGTCCCAGCTACTTGGGAGGCGGAGGCAAGAGACTCGCTTGAGCCCAGGAGTTGGAGGTTGCTGTGAGCTGTAATGCCACGGCACTCTACCCAGAGGGACAGCTTGAGGCTCTGTCTCAAAAAAAAAAAAAAAGATTGAAGATCTCCCTTTAGCCTTGCTGGGAAGCTGGGTCTGGCAGTGACCCTCTACTTCTGTCTGTGAAAGACTTCATCTTGCCTTCATATTGAATGACTGGACACAGTACTGAATGTTTGGACACAGTATTCCTGGGTTGCAGGGGTGGGGGATTGTTTGTTTGTGTGTTTTCCTTTGAACATTTGGAAAATGTTGTTGCACTCCTTTCCAATCCGTAGGATTTGGGTTGATTAAGTCTGTTGCCAGATTAATTGGAATTTGTATTTTACTTGCTTTTTTTCTCGCTCTGCTTTTAGGATGTTTTCTTTGTCCCTTGACCTTTACAAATTTGGTTATTAAATGCCTTGGGATAGCCTTGTGGGTTAAATCTGCTTGATGTTCTAAGATTTTCCTATACTCAGATATTTATATCTTTCTCATGTTTTCAAGTGTTCTGTGACTTTGTTTGGTAAGCTTTCATCCCTTACTCTGGTTTTGCTCCCTCATCAATACCAGTATTTCTCAGTTTTGATCTTATGTGGTAATTTTCTGTGTCTTATAAGTGGTCTTTGTTTCTTCTTACTCTTTTCTTTGTTCTCGTCTGTGTATTAGGTTTGTTTGTTTGAGACAAGTCTTACTATGTCACCCTCGGTAGAGTGCCGTGGCATGACAGCTCACAGTAACCTCAAACTCTTGGGCTTAAGTGATTCTCTTGCCTCAGCCTCCCAAGTAGCTGGGACTACAGGCACCCACCACAATGCCTGGCTATTTTTTTTTGTTGTTGCAGTTATCGTTGTTGTTTTAGCTGGCCTGGGCTGGATTTGAACCCACTAGCCTCATTGTATGTGGCAGGCGCCCTGCCTACTGAGCTACAGGTGCCGCCTCATCTGTGTATTTCAAATAGCCACTTTGTGGTTTTTCACACTTCACTGATTGTTTTCTTTGTGTGGTTCATTCTGTTGTTCAGAGGCTCAGGGGTACCTAACCTTTTTTCCTTTCTGCCACACATTAAAAGAAAAAGAATTGTCTTGGGGCACACATTAAACACATAAACACTAAAGAAAGCTGATAGGTTAAAGAAAAGGGCCCTGCATGGTTTTTGCAATATCCGACACTACAAATCAGCAAAGTAGTTGTCAAATTATCTGCATACTGCCCATGGGCCACAGGTTGGACACCCCAGCATTTATTTCTTAGTTCAGCTGATACGCTTCCTGGTTCCAAGATTTCTGTTAGATTTATTTCAATTTCTCCTTGTTAAACTTCTGATAAATTTCTGGATTGCTTTCTTATGTTATCTTGGAGATCACTGAGTTTCCATAAAACCACTGTTTTGAATTCTTGGTCATAGAGCTCACAAATTGCCATCTCATGAGGATCAGTCGCTGGATTTTTGCTTTCTCCTTTTGAGAAGGTCATGGTTCCTTGTTTGCTGTTTTTTCTTGTGGGTTACTTCTGTTTTTGCATTGAAGTTATTGATCCCACTTTCCTCTGTCTAGCTTTTGTTGGTTTTTCCTGAATATATTTACTTAGGGCCTCTCCACCGCTAGGCTGCTGCTCCCTTTTTGGCTCTGGGTTGCATCTTCAGCCCACGTTCACCCTGGCGTTAGCAAAGGTCAGAGCACTGCCTGTCCCAAATGGGCCAGGTCCCAGAAGGCTCATCCCAACATTGCAGGATAACCAGGCACTTCGTGCCGAGGGAACCTGGGGAACGGACCACAGCTGCTCTTACTTTGGTGTCTCGTTTGGCCAAGACACAAAGCAGTTTCCTGGATGGGGATGGTAGTGCCACCTCCCCCCACCCCACTGTGTTCACCTGTCCACCCAGATACTTGTCCCTTCAGGCAGCCACAATGCTACCTGTGGTTTAAGGCAAAGGTAAGGCTCCTGCCATTGAGCCCCGAAAGATGGGGAGGTTTGTTGACCACCTCAGTTTTACTTCTTCCAGTGTAGGAACCATGAGATGCAGGGAGGTTTCCAGCAGGGTTGGTGCCTGGCAGATGGAGGGAGGAGGATTGTGGATGTGGAAGTCTGGTTCTCATACGGTCTGCTCTTAGTTTTCCCACTTCTCTGAGGCTCTGGGAACTTTCCCCTCCTCATACTTTTTTAAAATTGTTTTTTATTAAATTATAACTTGGTACATTGATGCACTTATGGGGTTCAGGGTACTGCTTCAATATCCCTCCTCGTACTTGAACTCTGGGTTTTTACTAGTGAAAAAGTTAGTGCTGAATATTTGTTTCTGCTTTTTTGTGGGAAATAGAAGCCACCTTGCTTCTACATCACCTTTTTGGATTAGGAGATGTCCCATTCAGTTCCCTTTTGTATGGTATGTTTTTTCTATCTTTTTCATTTTATCTCTCTATATCATATTTAAAGTGAGTATTTTGTAGAGAATATCTAGTTGGGGATTCTTTATGGTTTGTTTTTAAATCTTAAACAACAGTCTCCTTTAGTTGCTATGTTTAGTTCATTTAAAGTTAGTGTAATTATTGATACAGTTGGATTCAGTCTATTATTTTATTTCATTTTTTACTTAGAGATGGTTTCTCACTATGTTGCCCACACTGGAGTGCAGTGCTATGCACAGGCATTAGCATAGCACACTGCAGCCTTGAACTCCTAGACTTAAGACAGTCCTCCCACTTCAGTCTTTATTAATTTAATTCCTCTCTTTGTTGCTGGAGAAGATCTCAGTGGGGTGCGTGTATTTGGTTTTTTGGTTGTGATGGGGACCTGGGAGACAGAAGCCAGCTTGCCTCTACACCACTATTTTAGAACCAGAACTCTCTGACAGTTAATAATTGGAAATGTGTCCACTGAGCTTATTTCTAAACTGGCCAAACACCTCCAATAATTTATTGAACTTTAGTATTTCTTTAGGGCAGTTTATGATCTTAAGGAATGCTATTGCTTGCTTTGTAGGTTTGAAGGTGGGATGATGGAGAATGGGAAGTGTAAAAAACTTTTATTTTTTACTTTCTTCTCAAACCTAACAAAACCATTAGTCATAGTAGTGTTAAAGAAAGTACAAGAGTAATAATTATTGTGACATTAAGTATTAATTATTTATAACAGGGTAAATAATTATTAGTATGATTCTGTGGTTCAAATATAGTATCTACTATCCAAAACAGGAGTATCCAACCTTTTTTTTTTTTCTCTGCCACTCAGTGGAATAATAAGAGTTGTCATGGGCCACACATTAAATATACAAATGTTAAGGAAAGCTGGTTAACAAAACAAACATCTGTGCGTACTTTCAAGGATATGCAACATCACAGATAAGCAGATTGCCCTCACAAAATCAGCATGCAGACCACAAGTTAGACACCCCTGAAATGCACCCCTGAAACGTTTATTCAATGACATTATATGGAAACTTCAATATTCATCACCTGTGGACAAATGTGATAAAATATAAGCTTAATAAGATTTTAGGGAGCCCTGTTAGGTGAACTGTATCCAGTGAATCTTAAAACACTCTTCTGTGTTTGTCAGTGCAGTTATATTGTACTTCAGTTACTATGAAATACAAAAACATCATATTCAAGAGTGTGGGGTGTTTTTCTTTTGTCTTCATTTAATCATTGCTCTGTTAAGTTTTAAGTGTACTTGTAATGTTCAAAACTTGAACCAAATTTAGTCATCTTCAGCTTTTTATAACCCTAATAATTTATGAACAGATTTTCATTTGCATAGTACTCTGGAATGGAAATATGTGCACATTGGGACTCCGTCACCCAAAATGGAGAAAATAGAAAAATGTTTTCTCTTCAAGTGTTAAAAGGCAATTCAGCTTGAAAAACGAGATGCCTGGAAAGATGTAGTTAGTTTATTGGATGTTATTTGTGGAGAGAAGCAAGCCATGTGGGGGTTTAATTAGAAGCACCATAGTAAGTCAGTAATAGAAGACAGCATGGTTGGTATCCACATGTGAATACTGTCAAGCAGACAAGAACATGGCTTGAAAATTTGTGAGGCAGATTAGGGATTGAAAAAGGTTGGAAATCTTTAAAGAAATCACATAGAGAAGAGTAAAAGTGGGCTGAAGACAAAGTTTTACTCGTACACCTATATTTAAAGATTAGACAGAGGAAAAAGAGCCAGTGAGCGATGCTGTGAAGCAGTCAGTAGAGGTGATCTACTGTGCTGAATGTCCTGAAGCCTGAAGGGAAGCAAGGTCATTCATTATCTTTGGCCGAGTAGTTTTTGGGGAGAAATGCAGACAGAGTCAGCTAGTATAACATACCCGTCCAAAGGAAAGAGAATGGTGTTGAACATTTTTGTAGGTTCTGTGAATTCTAGCAAATTTATAGAATTAAAGCAAGGGAACAGGAGAGGTGTCTTAGTTGACCCAGCATGCTCCTTGAGATAGAGACTGAAAATTAAGGAGTTTCATCTTCCTCCAAGAGGGAAGTTTGCCAAAAGTTATGTTTAATAGAGAAGTTGGGTTGATAAGAGAATGACATTATGCTGTACTTTGTATGACTTTCTAGCATATTTAGTATTATATCATAGTTGATATTTATCCTACTTTCTAGCCTATTTAGCATTGTATAGTTGATATTTATTCTGATCTTAACCTTGTGAAAGTACCTAACAGATTTTTCATGCTTTTCTTTTTCTGTATATATTATTTTCTCTGAAACTAGCAAAATAGTGTGAAATATATCTTAAAACTATTTGCTAAAAGTTTTTTTCATTATGTGTTTCCTGGTCATTTAGCTCGATCCAAGAATTATTCGACCATTTATAGCAGAGTGCCGTCAAACTATTGCCAAACTTGATAATCAGAATATGAAGGCCATTAAAGGGCTCGAAGATCGTCTGTACGCCCTAGACCAGATGATTGCCAGCTGTGGCCGGCTGGTGAATGAACAGAAAGAGCTCGCTCAGGTATCTACAATCAGACTTCTCTTTGGAAAAAGAATTTGTGGTTTGTCTATTTAAGTGTTTTATGTGCAATATCACTTTGGTATATACCATGTTTTTATTTCATCCTTGAATATAGTTAATACAATAGTATTGTTTATATGTAATAATAAATGAATGTTCTTAACAATTGAGTTTCTTAAAGTAAAGTTCAAGGTACTTTAAATAAACCATAAAAGTCCTACTTGCAGCTGGGAAAAATAATCAATATTTTAAAATATGTTAACAGCATATAATAAAAATTCAAATGCCTCCTGCTCTCCCATCAAAAAAGAAAAAAGGATATGAAAATTTATAAGGACAGAAATGTGAAATCTTAATGAATTTACTAATAATCAGATTTTAGGTCAAATTTAATGCAGCGTTACAAGAATTCTGCTGTCAAAGTAGGTTTATAACCAAAGGAAGCCTGGACATTTCCCCACAGATCAAAGTCTTTAATTCGTTACTTCTTCTCTTCTACACAGCCTGACAAGTACTATGGCAAAATAGCTGGTAGCCAAATTGTTGAGTTTCATAATCAGATGCTAACACACAGTTTTCTAGTATAACTTTCTCCTGCCAGTATTTCCCTCTAAAATGTGCTCTTTTGTTAGAACTTAAGAATATATTCTCAATATTAACTTTATTTTTAAGAAATAAAGACTGTGCATCCTTGATCTCATCAAGATCCATAAATTAGAATGGCATCTAGTATTATATTTACTTTTACTGATTATTTTCTCTTTTGAAAATCTTTTTAAATCACCTTGATTTCTTGAGGATATTTTTGCTGGTACACGTGGAGTTCTAAGTTGTTTGCTGTTTACTTTCAGTGCTTTCTCTACCTTTAGTTTTATTTTTAGTGGTCGTACTCTGGTGTGACAAGATGTGACAGTCTTTTTATTTACCCTGCGTTGGGCTTATAGTGCTTCTTGAGTTTGTGATTTAATGACTATATCATTTGGAGAAATTCCTGGAGAGATTGTGCTTTTGCTTTGCTTCCTTTTGTCTCTCCTTCACTGATCCCAGGTTCATATGTGTTAGACCTTTCATTTACATTTGCTTCCTATATTTTCTAACCTTTTATTTTTTGAGACAGAGTCATACTACGTTGCTCTGGGTAGAGTGCTAGTGCTGTGGCGTCACAGCTCACAGTAACCTTAAGGTCTTTGGCTTAAGCGATTTGCTTGCCTCAGCCTCTCAAATAGTTGGGACTGTAGGTACCCACTACAACACCTGGCCATTTTTTTTGGTTGCAGTTGTCATTGTTGTTTGGGAGGCCCGAGCTGGATTCAGACCTGCCAGCTGTGGTTATGTGGCCGCTGAGCTACAGGTGCCAAGCCTATTTTCTATCCTTTCACGTCTCTGTTTCATTATAGATATCTCTGATTCTTTCTAGCAGTGACTAGTTATAGTTAGTTGTTTATTGATTTCTTATTTTTGTTTAATTTTCAGCTCTACAGTTTCAATTTGCTTGTTTTGTTTATATGGTTTTAAATTTGCAGCTATTATTTTCAGTCTTAGCCATCTGTCATCTCTTTGATCACACATTAACTTAAAAGTCTTCCTCTATTAACTCTATTATCTGTGCCCGTGCATTTGTTTATAATTTATATTGTTTCTTATAGTTTTTATTCCTTTGATCTTGCCTTTTCATGTGCTTATTTTTAATAATCAAAAGCAAATAAATATTGTGAGGCCTAGGATAACATCTAGAAAGAATTATTTACTTTTGGCATGTGCTAGGGACTATTACAATCTTAAATTATGTAATCCAGTTTCAGAAATGTAGATGAAGGGAGATTGGTCTGTGAAGGCCAGTCTACTCAATTGTATGATGTAGCTTTTTGGGATAAGAATGTGTATGTTTTCCATTGGCTCTGGTGTTTAATTTTTATTTCCTAGCTCTACAGAAGTATGAGGAACTGCTTACTATTTATTTTTAGCTTTAGTCTTCTTCAGGAATCAAAAGTCTCTGAGGCAAAGCATTCCTAATTGCTTACTTTCCCTCTCTTGGTTTCCTTCTCCTAGATCCTGGCCCCTTCATTGTGCCTGACTCCTATATTGCTGTGCTAGATATACCAAACCTAAATCCACTGTGAGATTGGTCAGCATTAAAGGGTCGTGGCATTAGGAAGGTTCAGAACCACTGCTATAGACAGAACCGTATTCCTGATCTTTGGCTTCTTCTCCAGTGTTCTCTTTTTTAACCTTCCATAAAGCAAATCAAACAAAATTCATTTAACCATGCTTCTTTTGATGGTCATTTAGTTTGTTTCACTTTTTTCTTATTACAAATACTGTTTGAATATCCCACTATATTTATCTTTACATTTGAGACAGTCTCATACTGTCACCCTCGGTAGAGTGCTGTGGTGTCACAGCTCACAGCAACCTCAAACTCTCCTGGGCTTAAGTGATTTTCTTGCCTCAGCCTCCCAAGTAGCTGGGACTACTGGCGCCTGCCACACACCTGGCTATTTTTTTGGTTGCAGTTGTTGTTTAGCAGGCCCAGGATGGGCTCAAACTCACTGTCTTCAGTGTATGTGGCCGGAGCCCTACTCACTGAGCTACTGGTGCTGAGCCATAGTATTTCTTTAGATATAATCTCCAGTGATGGAATTATAGAACTAAGGTTTCTGTGCATTGTAAATATTTATTAATAATGTTACAATACCTTTCATTTTAAAGCAAAATCAGCCAATATTGCCAGAAAATAATAAGTGTAATTTTTACTTAATATTTGCTCTGTATTTCCTCTGAATTTTCATTTGCCAAATTTTCCTTATCTTAATATTTCTAAAGAATTTATATCATCTGGGTAATTTTTTGCATATTTTAAGTTATGCAGATATTATGTCTCTCTTCTGAATTTATACAGATTTTAGTACAGAAATTTTAAATTTAGGGCCAGTCAGGGTGGCTCATGCCTATAATCCTAGCACTCTGGGAGGCCAAGGTGGGTGGATTGCTTGAGCTCAGGAATTCAAGACCAGCCTAACCAAGAGAGAAACTTGTCTCTACTAAAAATAGAAAAACTAGCTGGACATAGTGGTACATGCCTATAGTCACAGCTACTGAGAAGGCTGAGGCAGGAGGATTGCCTGGGTACAAGTGATTGAGGTTATTTTGAGTTGTGAGACGCCATGGTACTCTACCAAGGGTGACAGAGTGAGACTCTGTCTGAAAAAAAAGGAAAAAGAAGAAAAGATTGAAACAAACTCTGATGAGCATTAATTTTTTTTTTAATTCTGTCTTGTGCTATGATTACATTTAGAAAAATAGGGGATATTAAAATCTTATTTGAAAACTGAACAGTTTGTGTTTAACATAATGAGTTTTCCTCTTTAGTGAATATTCGTGTCTTTCATGAAACAAAGTAATGTTTTTTAAAATATTTTTTCTCAAAGGGATTTTTAGCTAATCAGATGAGAGCTGAAAATTTGAAGGATGCATCTGTATTACCTGATTTGTGCCTGAGTCATGCAAATCAGTTGATGATTATGTTGCAGAATCATAGAAAACTGTTAGATATTAAACAGAAGTGTACCACTGCCAAACAGGAACTAGCAAATAACCTACATGTCAGACTGAAGTAAGTGATTCTTGTATAACTATTTTGGGGTTTTTAGAGTAGTTGTTGATGGTTATTTCTCCTAAGTGATGGGTAATTTTCACACACCCAATATTTCAAATATTAAAATATTTGATTGATTAGCTTACTATTTTGATAGACACTTGTGTGTGTTAATTTCCTTAGTTTAACTAGTAAGGAGTTATTTTAGCAAACTTTACTGAATGTTGACAATAATGGGTTTCATTCTATAGGTGGTGTTGCTTCGTAATGCTTCATGCTGATCAAGATGGAGAGAAATTACAAGCTTTGCTCCGCCTCGTAATAGAGCTATTAGAAAGAGTCAAAATTGTTGAAGCTCTTAGTACAGTTCCTCAGATGTACTGCTTAGCTGTTGTTGAGGTTGTAAGGAGAAAAATGTTCATAAAACACTACAGGGAGGTATGCAAGTATATTCTATTTTAATTATGCATGAACTTGAATGAAGTGGTGTATGTTGTTTACCATAAGCTTTCCTCTTCTAGTGGGCTGGTGCTTTAGTGAAAGATGGAAAACGATTATACGAAGCAGAAAAATCAAAAAGGGAATCCTTTGGGAAGTTATTTAGTGAGTATTCTTCATTAATAACTTTATTTACCTATTTAAAGAAAATAATGTTTTATCCTATATTCTTGAATTACCTGTAGCATAAAGCATGTATTAATATATATACTATTAAATACTAAAGTCTAAGAAAATATTTTTTTAAAGAGTTTAATCCATTCTTAAATTTTAAATTAGAAGCATTGTCAAACTGTAATTTACTTTTTCAGAAACTAGAGATAATTTTTTGCTTTAAATAAAGTTCTAAAATAACCATATTGTTAATTTCTTTATACAGGGAAGTCTTTTTTAAGAAACCGTCTGTTTAGGGGACTGGACTCCTGGCCCCCTTCCTTTTGTGTATGTATTTATTTTCTAAGCATGGTTAAATGTCATATGTTTTAAAACCTTTTATCCAAAAGTAGAGGCATTTGTTAGAAACTCACAAAAATTGTTGTTTTTTTAAAAATCAACATAAAAATGCTTGGGCTTAAAAAGCCAGTTGTAAATCTTCACTGGAATTAAACCATGAAATGTTATTAGTTTGCTAATATTTCTTACATGGGGGAGGAAACATTTTCAGAATCAAAGCAGTTTGGGAGCTGCTGGTATTTTTTTTCTTCTTAGGTAATTCTGCTTAAGTGTTAAACATGTTTATGTATTGTAGGAATTTCTTAGGAATTTAAATGAGTACTTTTTTAATATCTGAGAACGAATGATGTACTAGAAAGGGTTTCCCATACTCATTTATCCTAGAGCACTTTTTTGTGAAGAGCATTTTTACAGCTCCATATCTGCTTGAATAATAATTTAAAATAATTAAAGTTAAAAGGCATTATTTTTGGCATTTTTATAAGGAAAGAAATAGGGTTAACATTTTTTAAGGAGGCTGAAATTGATTTAAAGTTTGTATTTTGGAAAATGTAGTGGAAAGATCAAGGAGAGAGGCACAAGGAAGGAAGTGTTATGTGGAAGAAGTTATTTTTGGACCTTGTTAAAGCCAGAAGGCATGCTAACAGGTAATAGTAATAGATGCAGGGCTTGAGAGGCCATGCTGTAAGTCGTGGAGACCTTTTGGAATAGCCTCTCTAATGAAACAAATGGTTTTATTTAATGTTGATGGGGATACTGGAATCCCCATAAAATGATGCTAGAAACAGACAGCTCATGTCCTAATCAGTCTGCTGAAAGTGCAGAAAAAGAGAATACCATGTCTTCATTGAATGATAGTTTATTTTTTATTCTGTTTCTTTGGTTTGACTAGATCATTTGAAGTATTTTTGCATATTGGTTATAGTGAATACAATTGTGGTAAAAACAGTATATAAATTTATCTTATATTTTCTGGTTAAATTTTTTTGGGGGGGGCGTGTAGACTCAGAAGCCTCGAAAATTCGACTGTGAACTTCCAGATATTTCGTTAAAAGATTTACAGTTTCTGCAATCATTTTGTCCTTCGGAAGTTCAACCATTCCTCAGGTAAATGTCATTAGTATTTTTAACTTAACTTGCATTATAACCTTAGATGTTTTTATGATTCTGGAGCTGTATAAAGTAGCACTATTAGTCTTAAGAGGTGGCAGTGATATAGAGAAATGTTATATGATAGACTGGCTCTGTGATTGCTTTCAGGAAATTTCTGATAGGATAAAAAATGAAAATAACCTCAGTAATATAGCAAGGCTTCATCTTTAAAAAACATTTTTTTAACTAAAAAAAATGAAGATAAAGTAGAAGTCTTATGCTTTATATGTAGTTGTTTTGTTTTTTTTTTTTTATCCTAGGAGTTACTGCTATTGGGAATTTTTTTCTTTCTTTCTTTTTTTTGAGACACAATCCCACTATGTTACCCTCAGTAGAGTGCTGTGGCATCACAGCTCAAAACAACCTCAAACTCTGGGGCTTAAGCGATTCTCTCACCTCAGCCTCCCAAGAAGGTGGAACTACAGGGACCTGTCAGAATGCCTGGCTATTTTTTGTTGCAGTTGTCATTGTTTTAGCTGGCCTAGGCTGGGTTGGAACCCGCCAACTTTGTAGCGGGTTCCAACCCCAATATGTAGCTGGTGCTGTCACCACTGTGCTATGGGTGCCGAGCCACCATTAGGAAATTTTTAAGATCGATTTGTTAATTATGAGGCAGACTTCATAACAAGACTTAACAAAATACTAAAGCACCACAGCAGTAGCCTAGCTCACAGCAACCTTAAACTCCTGGGTTCAAGCGATCCTCTTTCCTTAGCCTCCCAAATAGTTGGAACTATGAGTGTCCAACAACACCTGGCAAGTTTTTCCATTTTTAGTAGAAATGGGGTCTCACTCCTGTTCTGAACTCCTGAGCCCAAGCAATGCCTTGGCCTCCCAGAGTATTAGGATTATAGCATGAGCCACCACAGCTGCCCAACGGTGCTTAAGGCTTGACTGCAATAAATGTGAGTTCCCTAGGGAATTCATGTAGTTTTTGATGTGTTAAAATAATGGGTTGCAGTTATCAGTCTTTTTCATCAAGAAATCAGAAGTCTAACGTGATTATATTCTGTTTCAGGGTTCCCTTACTTTGTGACTTTGAACCTCTACACCAGCATGTACTTGCTCTACATAATTTGGTAAAAGCAGCACAAAGTTTGGATGAAATGTCACAGACCATTACAGATCTACTGAGTGAACAAAAGGCAAATTCAGTTTTTTCAAATTGTTCTCTTCATTAGTGTAAAGTGTGTGCGTTGCTATAATTCTTTCCACCTTTCTCTCTCTTCCTCAGGCATCTGTGAGTCAGACATCTCCCCAGGCGGCTTCTTCTCCAAGGATAGAAAGTGCAGCAGGAATCACAACTACTACCTCACCAAGGACTCCTCCTCCACTCACTGTTCAGGATCCCTTGTGTCCTGCGGTCTGTCCCCTAGAAGAATTATCTCCAGATAGCATTGATGCACATACATTTGATTTTGAAACTATCCCCCATCCCAACATAGAACAAACTATTCACCAAGTTTCTTTAGACTTGGATTCATTGGCAGAAAGTCCTGAATCAGATTTTATGTCTGCTGTGAATGAGTTTGTAATAGAAGAAAATTTATCATCTCCTAATCCTATAAGTGATCCACAAAGTCCAGAAATGATGGTGGAATCACTTTATTCATCCGTTATCAATGCAATAGACAGTAGGCGTATGCAGGATACAAATATATGTGGTAAAGAGAATTTTGGAGATGCTCTAAATGTCCAGTTGGAAAAATGTAGAGTTGTGGCCCAAGACACTCACTTCAGTATACAAAGCATCAAGGAAGACCTTTGCCACTTCAGAACATTTGTACAAAAAGAACAGGGTGATTTCTCAAATTCATTAAAATGCATAGCAGTAGAAATTAAAAACATTATTGAAAAAGTAAAATATTCTCTGGAAATAACACTAAAAGAAAAACATCAAAAAGAACTACAATCTTTAAAAAATGAATATGAAGATAAACTTAATGCTCTAATAAAGGAGAGTGAAGAAAATGAAAATAAAATTAAAAAATTAAAAAGAGACTTAATATGCCTTGAGGAGGTTTTACAAAATAAAGATAATGAATTTGCTTTGGTTAAACATGAAAAAGAAGCTGTCATCTGTCTCCAGAATGAAAAGGATCAGAAGTTGTTAGAGATGGAAAATTTAATGCACACTCAAAATTGTGAAATTAAGGAACTGAAGCAGTCACGAGAGATAGTGTTAGAAGACTTAAAGAAGCTCCATGTTGAAAATGATGAGAGGTTACAGTTGCTCAGGGTAGAGCTTCAGTCCTTAGAGCAGAGTCATCTAAAGGAATTGGAGGACACACTGCACACTAGGCACACACAGGAGTTTGAGAAAGTTATGACAGACCACAGAGTTTCTTTGGAGGAATTAAAAAAAGAAAATCAGGAAAAAATTAATCAAATACTAGAGTCTCATGCCACAGTTATCCAGGGAAAAGAAGAACAGCTGAAGGAATTAAAACTTAAGGTTTCTGATTTGTCAGACTTGAGATGCAAGTTAGAAGTGGAACTTGCACTGAAGGAAGCAGAAACTGATGAAATAAAGATTTTGCTGGAAGAAAGCCGAGCCCAGCAAAAGGAGACTTTGAAATCTCTTCTTGAACAAGAGACTGAAAATTTGAGAACAGAAATAAGTAAACTCAACCAAAAGATTGAGGATAATAATGAAAACTATCAGGTGGGCTTATCGGAGCTAAGAACTTTAATGACAATGGAGAAAGATCAGTGTATTTCAGAGTTAATTAGTCGACATGAAGAAGAGTCTAATATACTTAAGGCTGAATTAAACAAAGTAACATCTTTACATCAGCAAGCATTTGAAATAGAAAAAAACCTGAAAGAACAGATAATTGAACTGCAAAGTAAATTGGATTCAGAATTGAGTGCTCTTGAAAAACTAAAAGATGAAAAAATTACCCAACAAGAAGAGCAATATGAATCAATTATCCAGACCCTTAAGAAAGACAAAGAGAACTTGGTCATGAGCCAGGAACAAGAGAGAGAACAGTTAATTCAGAAGCTTAATTGTGAAAAAGATGAAGCAATTCAGACTGCCCTAAAAGAATTTAAGTTGGAGAGAGAAGTTGTTGAGAAAGAATTATTAGAAAAGGTTAAACATCTTGAGAATCAAATAGCAAAAAGGTAAGTATTAAGTTTAGTGTGTGATTATAATACTAAAATATTAGTAATTCAAGTGTGTGTGTGTGTAAGTAATCAGGGTACTTTGTTTTACTTATTTACCTCGTATAAATCTGCCAAGTGGGATATTTTCAGGAAGTAAGAACTTTTAAGTAGTGTATCTTGCCAAACATCATAAAAATGTCAAGTCATATAAATCCATTAGTGGCTTTTAAAAAATGATTTATAATTTTGAATTTTCAAAAATGATTTTGAAATGTTTTAAAGAATCTTTTTTTCTTTAATTTGTACATTGCTTTTTCTTGATTTGTTTGCATTTTTTCCTAAGTTCTTCGATTGAAATTTATTTTTGTTCTCTTTAGAATTAGTGTGTATATATTAAAAACTATAATGATTTTCTCTCTGTAACATTTAGCAAAGGCTATATCACAGGCTGGGAATGTGTAGCTATGTAGTGTTCCTCCTTATTATTTTCTTAATATTACAATTTCAATTATTAACCTGGGTTTGAAACATAATATTTTTAAATTTCAGAATGGATACTGTGGTTATGAGTTTGGTGTTTGTGCAATTTTTATTTTTTTACTATCTGATATTACTGCCTTTTTATCACAGTTGATGGTATTTCTAGTTTTTAAAAATTTATCAAGGGGGTTTATGATCCAATTAACAGTTTCTAGAACATAATACAGTTCTATCATTAGTTCTCCAAGTGAATATATTTATAGGTGCATACATTTCATGCCTTACCACTTAATCCCTGGGATTGTCTGATGTGTAATGCTTGTACGTTTAGTACAGCTAAACCTCTACTTCTGGTTTGAAAATAGAAGCTCTTTATGTATTCTAGGGGGGATTAGAAGGTATAATGGAGGAATTAGGGCTTGCGTGAACGTTTACAGATCTGGAGGAGTGGAGGTCAGCAGAGTCACTGCTAAAAGCTAGGAAAGATATATCAGAATCAGAGCTAAACAGTAGCAAAAGTGGTAAAAACAGATTATATTTAGGAACTATTACAGTAGGAAATTAGAGACCGCAAGGTAGAACTAAATTCTATTCAAAACACAACATGGACAAGTTGAGATTGTTATCCAAGGAGCCCAGGATAGAGGTCAGTGGATTGAAGTTACTAAGAGGAAACACGAGGAGTCTGGCTAAATTGACATATGAGGATTCTTGCTTAAGGCAGGCCGAGGTGGTTAGATACCAAGGGTGGGGGTGAGGAATTGGTTCTTTCTAAAGTGACTTAGTAAGAGTCTACAACTGGGCAATGCAGCCCCAAGAAGAACAGATGGCCAAGATCAAAGCCTAGAGAAGGCTAACTAATATTAAGTCAGAGAGTGTCTTTGTCAAGCTTTAAGTGCAATCTCAGGAAAACAGACTCTGAAGCCCCTACCAAAGCTGATGGTTCTCCATGGCTCACTGGGAAGTTATTGCAACATTCAAGCATCTCTTCAAAGCACCAATATTCTGGCTCACTCTCCAACCCAAAATGGCTAGTTCTCAGTTCTTTACAGGAAGCCTCTATGAAAGTGCATCTGGCTACAACTGCCTCTGGAAAATAAGCCTGGCCTTCCTTTTCTACCTTCTAAACCTTGCAGGTGTTCTTTTCATTGGCATATACGAAGCTGTACCAGGAGACCTGGGAAATGTAGAAAGAATTTCTGTATCTCAGTGTGTATGAGATCATAAATGAGGGGTGAGGCCAATGCCTGCAAGACCCTAGACAGTCAGCACTGTGTAAGCCATTTAAACCTCAGCAGTTAGACATTTATCTCTTTTCCTTATGTTAAATTTCCAAATAAAGACACTTATATTCTCTCTGATGTGATGCAACTTGTATTCCTCATATTACCTCAGATATTCTCACCCTGTCTTCAAAAGTTAAGACTCAAACTTGTGTCCCTCTGGTCTTCCTAATGTGAACATTTTGATGTTCATTCACGTTTGTGCTCTGTACAGTCACTGTCTCATATTCCGTAGGTGATGTTGAAATATAGCTTTATTTTATATGGTAGAGGGATTGGAGAAGGGAATAATGACAAAAGCGAGTACTATTCACAGGCTTAATTACTAGAGTCTTTACTTCTGTAACTAGCCTCACAATTCTAGGAGGCATTTACAGCTTTCGTCCATTACCTACTCCATTTTTTCCCTTAGCCAGTGGCTCTACTTATTTTAGTTCTTTACTTGATAGGCACTATTCTTATCTTTTTTTCTAAAGAGACTGTCATAAATGATACTCCCTATAATACAGCTGCTAGTGGCTTTTTTCCTCACTGGACATGACACTGCCAAAGAGACATCCCAGAAAGTCACACCTATATTTCAGTAACATTCCTCTCTGACCCTCACTGCACAGAACAACCAGTGATAATGAAGTTGAGTCATACCATTCCATAGAGCAGCCTACTTTCCCTGTTCATTCAGTTGCATGAGAAGTTTTAAGTGACCAATTGTAGTATAAGTGTCCAGTTCAGTGGGATATTGGTTGTATCTCCTGATAATGGAATTCTTTCTTAGGGAACTAAATCATCTAGCATGTCCCTAAATTGCAGCCATAAGAAGCAAAATTCATTAGGATAAATTCATTAGCAAAGTTCATTAGGATGATACAGTAGTTACTCCAATTTTCATCTTTGTGCCTCCAACCTATGTGTTCCAGCTATTGGGGAATTAGTATAGCATAGTTGTCTCTGATTCAGAGCTTGTAGTATTTTTGCTTTTCACTGTAGCCATGGGAAATGGCACCTATCTGCTACTATAACTGAGTGTTTAGTAAACTGGTCCCCAATTGTATCAGATCAGCTTACTTTAGGATTTGACATATGTGGAAAGTCCAGTGATTTCCACGGCCTTGACATCATCACTACGTATCTTTCATTGTAAATGAATCCCCTTGTTTAGAAGCAATTTTAGTGCTATGCCATAGCAGTGAATAAAGCATATTACACTTTTAGGAATGAATGCTTTGGTAGAGATAACTCTGCGAATGGAAGGTAAATATTTACAGAGAATACTAGACTGTTCTCGGATGTAGTCCAGTGTAAGCTGCCTGCCACCAACCAGGTGGATGTCTTATTCCCTGGAGAGCACTGCAGTATGGTTTCTTACTTGGTGTGTGGAAATCCATGTTGCTGAGCCCATGGGGAGTCGTGTGATTAGAGAAAGAAATTGATTAATAACCACCAAACTATGCAACTTGCCCATGTAATTACTAACTGGTTCTTCACATTTTGTGTCCTGTTGATGAGATTCCTCCATATTCCTCTTACACAAATCTCTTGCCACCAAGTTTTAATCTCGTTCTTTTCAGGTCTTCCACACTCCAGTAAGCCTTTGAGCTACTCTCTATGACAGGGTAACTCTGTACCCCTGACCATTTAGCCTTCTAGGTAACTTCAGATAAGTTGTTTGACATTGCCACTGGTAAGATTCACTTCACTACTCTTGCTCAAGGCTACTCATCCCTGCCGTGCTTTTGCCCCAGTATATTGTTTAGAATCACCAGGAAACCAGGACTGCCGATGATTTTCCTCATAAGCGAATGCCATAGATGGAGAAAAAAGGCAATATAGCAGGAACCTGTAGCTCTCTTACCTTCCTTGGCCCTTCAGCATTGATTTGATCTGAATCCTGTATATGATACATCAACCTAATGAAGTAATTCTGCTATGTATTCCCCAGTTCATGGCTTGATGTTTAGTCCTTTATGGTGGGCAGATTCAATCTCAGTTGTAATGTAGGAGTTCTTGGTTCAGTCTTTGACAAGGATGCAGTAGCAAGCTGTAAGCTATTTTGCAAAAAGACAATAATAGTTATCTACCCAAACCCTAGGGGTTTTGTAATTCTATAAGACTTGCCAAAGGCTCCATAAAACATGTGTTTCTTTTACAGACACTTTAAGCATCTGCTGGGACATACTGCCCGGGTATTAGAGCATGTTTAATCTCAACCTATAGCAAGGGAGTCTCTTTACTCTAGCCCCTACAAAGGTAGGCAGCCTTTTAAGTTTATTGATAAATGGCTCAGAAAAGCATGCCAAAAGTGCTGTATGTTTCCCCCCAATATTTTTGTTATGGTTGGGGATTCATTGAGGGTATGAGATACAAGGTTATGCTGATTGCATTAGTTAGGTGAAGTCCCTCCTATAATTGTGTCTTGCCCCCAAAAGGTGTGTCACACACCAAGACCCCACTCCCTCCGTTTTTCCTTTCCCCCAACCCCTTCCCTCCACTCTCTCTATTCTGCCCTTCCCCCACCCCCCATCATGTACTACGTCATTGATTGTCCTCATTATCAAGATTGAGTACATAGGATTCATGCTCCTCCATTCTTGTGAAGCTTTACTAAGAAAAATGTGTTCCATCCAATTCCATCCAGGTTAATACAACGAATGTAAAGTATCCATCTTTTTTAGTGGCTGAATAGTATTCCAGGGTGTACATATACCATAGTTTGTTAATCCATTCCTGGGTTGGTGGGCATTTAGGCTCTTTCCACATTTTGGCGATTGTTTCCCTCCCCCATCTGACTTTACAGGGGACATCTCTAATGACTGGCCCCTGCATTTTCATGGGTGTTATTGCCCCTTCCAGGTACATATGTGTTTTTCCTGAGTCCAGTTAGTAGCCACTCCCCATCAACACGTTGCATCAGGTGTACTGGATCAGTGAGATGTCCTGAGGAGTAGCAAGACAACCAGCATTCCTGCTAAAAATACTTGAGTTACATTATTCCAAAATTATCAAATACAAACAGTGAAATTGTTCATGTGGGTCAAGTGTTTTGTCCATGTCTACTAGGAGAAGACATATCCTACCTGGCTAGCCTCTAATAATTGGAGTCAAGATTTTTTCGTTCCTCCCAGCTGGATTTTAATAGTACTGAAGAGTTGGTATAATCCCCAAATCAGACAGTAAAAGTATACTACTGTCCACTTAGGTAACAACAGACTGCTTCTTGTGATGTACACCAAGGGTTGACAAACTGCAAGGTTCTAT